TTCAACTACCTCAAATTTTAAATTCTACAAAAAAAAAACTTTTACTTCTGTACAGTGAACATTTCTCTTGGCAAAAGATTGGAAAACAGGGAGACACATGTTATAAACCAGAAATTAGTATGCAAAACACTTAATAAAAATAAAAGTAGCAAAAATGAATTGCCTGAAGAGGAAATGTGAATGCCAACAAGCAAGCAAACAAAGATATACTCAGAGAAGGCTAATAAAAAGCACAAAGAGCAGCTCCTCACCCACAGCATTCATAAGTCTAGTCGTCAGGCTATCTCAGCTGCTGGCACGTTGTAGGAGAGATGAGACTCTCATAAAAAGTTGCTGGAAATGTGAAGTGGTAAAGCCATCTTGGTGTCTATGAAAGTGGAAAATGTGTCTAACCTGTGTCCTGGAAATTAGGCATTAAGATATTTAGTAGGCAACCTCCTGTATGGTTCCATATGGGTCCTATGCACACTCCTGTGTGGTCTGTGAGGGTCCTATGCACACTCCTGTGTGGTCTGTGAGGGTCCTATGCACACTCCTGTGGTCTGTGAGGGTCCTGTGCACACTCCTGTGTGGTCTGTGAGGGTCCTATGCACACTCCTGTGTGGTCCGTGAGGGTCCTGTGCACACTCCTGTGGTCTGTGAGGGTCCTGTGCACACTCCTGTGTGGTCCGTGAGGGTCCTATGCACACTCCTGTGTGGTCCGTGAGGGTCCTATACACACTCCTGTGTGGTCTGTGAGGGTCCTGTGCACACTCCTGTGTGGTCCGTGAGGGTCCTATGCACACTCCTGTGTGGTCTGTGAGGGTCCTATGCACACTCCTGTGTGGTCTGTGAGGGTCCTATACACACTCCTGTGTGGTCCGTGAGGGTCCTATGCACACTCCTGTGTGGTCTGTGAAGGTCCTGTGCACACTCCTGTGTGGTCCGTGAGGGTCCTGTGCACACTCCTGTGTGGTCCATGAGGGTCCTATGCACACTCCTGTGTGGTCTGTGAGGGTCCTATACACACGCCTGTGGTCCACGGGGGTCCTATATGAGTGTCTGCTACTGCATTGTTTGTAACAGCAGGAAGAAGGGAATGACAGAAATCCTTCAACACAGAAATAAGTAAAACGTGGTATTCTCCAATGATGAAATGTCGTACAGCAATTAAAAAGTAGAAATAAAATTGATATAATCAGCAATAATAGGTCTTAAACACATAAGGTAATGTGTCCAAAGCAAGATGCAGATTGATGGGTTACAGACATTATTTTTAAAATAAAACCATACAGTGTGTGTGTGCATTTTAGTGAAGGCACATGTTCCTAGAAAAGGGTTTTAAGAAATGGAATGATACCCGATCACTTCAGCCTCCAGGGAGGTGTGGAGAGGAGTGGATGAGGGTTCGTGGTTTGGGGGACATTAGCTAATACCTCTCCTCGACTCACCCCTCCCTCCCTCCCTCCCTCCCTTCCTCCCTCCCTCCTTCCCTCTCTCCCTCTCTCCCTCCTCCCTCCCTCCCTCCTTCCCTCCCTCTCTCTCTTTTTCTCTCCTCCCTTGCCTGATTTCCTTCTTTCCTCTCTCCTTTTCTTCTCCCTAAAAAATGGACACGAAGCAGATATGCACAAAAAAGTTAGCATTGATTCTAAGTGATGGGAATATGGACGTGT